GAAGTAATCAGTAATTAGTTACTGATTACTTTTTTCAAGTAACTTGACCAACACTGATTATAACCAGAGGAGTTGTGGTTTTTAGCGGTGTATAAGGCCCAAGTATTGTGCTCAGCACAGGTTAAACTCTGATTCCACCACTTTGAAAACTGAAATGTGTTACTTTCCTGCAAATCAACCACAAAATCATATTATGTGTGATTTTCACAACTATCCTTTCCTTTATGTAGCTGACCAACAGCTAAATAATTAACTCCAAGCTTTGAGTTTGAGCAGAAATGAATTAAGCGAATTGGAGCACTAACATAATAACATTGGAGGATGAAAATTTGTGCATTTACAATTTTAAAAGTTGAAATTTCATACAAATTTCAATGGAAACAAATTGAAAATATTGTAAAACTTGTATTGATGTAACATATGACAGTACAAAGATTTTTTTATAATGAAATTTTTAAACTGACAAAATTGAAATTGGATTTTTTTTTCTAAAAAAGAAAATGCTAATCTTTCCATGTGATGCCAACACGGTGTTTACAACTTTGGCACAGAAGCACTTTTAATGCCACCTCACATCTTCTTTAAAGCTGTTCAGCAGCTGTCAACAGCTGATAATAATAAATCCTTAAGTTATTCACAGTTTTATATGGTGAAACTATCTGCGTGTTTCTCAGTGTTCCTCAGAGTGGGAAACACCTGGTAAACAAGCCTGGAGCAAGTCATGACTCCAAGGTTAGCAGTGTGTCAGCCAGTTCCCCTATCTGTCTGCCGGTTCATGGTCAATTCAGCATTTTGGTCCAGACTCGGGCATCTCAGTAATCAATAGAACAAGATGCTAGACATTTGCAGTCCCCAGGTGATAGTTCCTGATTTCTCCTGGTTTTTCTTTTTGCGTCAACATTATTTTTTTAACTTTGTGTTTCACTAGAAGAAGATGCTACTTTCAGCTGCTCCTTTATTCACAAACGGTCACTCCACATGTTTTATTTGGCAGAGTCTTGTGTGTTTTCCCAGGGATCTTTTGCTTGTTAGGCACTCTCAATCCACTAAATTCATGTTTTACTCAAATCTGAAAATGTCCCGACCACTACAAGAGAGCTGATCATTAGATTTATTCTCTCTTTCTCTCTCTGTCTCTCTTTGGAAACTTCTTGTCCAAATGAAGCCCGTGTGCCATTGTTACCTGAATATGAAAAAAGAAAACTTGAAATTTGAAGGCCATAGGGATGCGGTCACAGGGTGAAACATGGGATGCACAGTAGAGAGGTTGTTAATCTATCATGGTGACAACACAGAGAGACAACCATTCACTCTCACATTCACAGCTATGGCCAATTTAGAATTGTTATTAACCCCATCCATGTCTTTGGATCACGGGAGGAAGCCGGAGTACCCAGAGAGAAGTCACACAAGCAAAGGGGGGGGAACATAGTGTTGTACTGCACCACTCTGCTGCTATATAGGTTTTCTTTGCTGTCATTGTCACTGTGAAATTTGGTATAGATATGATTTAATAGGACTCATAAAGGTTTTTCTTTTTTTAGTTTTTCACCAGACACCTGCAAATCTATCAGACTCAGTGCTCATGCTACTTAGCAAGTGTTTAATTGTTAACTTGCACTGTTACTCATCATGGTTAATCACTTGAATGCCAACATTTTAGACTAAAAAAAAGAAAAATTGGTGACCAACTGCTGGTGTAGTCTCATCAGATGATTTTAATCTCTTGGAAAGTCCAAATATCTTGTGTGAGTAGTTTTAAGTTGGTTGGTTGGTTTTAATCATTTGTGATTGGTAATTTTAAAATAATTGGTTGAAGTTATTGGATGCTCAAGCCATAAATGTTAGAAGACAAAAACAGTGTTTGTACAACACTGTCATCAGTGCCACTGTGCTGTGACTGAATGAAGTCAAACAAGGCCAGCCTGTTGGCATGTTGGATGCTGACATGCATGTCCAAGCCGTTGCTACAGCTTTGCATGCCTATGAGAGCACCATCTCTGATCTCATTATCCTTGGTGGAAATCTAACTGGATAGAGGTGCAACCTCCGACCTGTGCTTGTGCTATTCTTGTGGTAGCCCCCCACCCTGCACCTGTTTCAGCAGGACAATGCCTGCCCCCACATTGCCAGAATAGCACAGATCTTTGTAAATCAAGAACATATCCAGACAGTTTCTTGGCCATCATTTAGTCTTCATATGGTTCACTGAACATGCCTGGGACCTGCTGGCCCAACGTGCTCATTAGCCACACAGAGCGACCACTGCACAGCTGCAGGCTGCACACATCCAGCTATGGAGAGCAATTCCTCAACAACAGATCCGGACACGTGTTCATTCCACGAACAGATGGGAGACAGTTTGCATCACCTCCAGAGGAGGCTGTACCTCATATTAAATATCTTGTATGTATCTTGTAGTGACTGTCTATGAAACCTCTTCCCTGTTTCAGGCTAGAATTATGGTCCCAAATTTGTGTCTATCTAAGATGTTTCAGGCTTTTTCAGGGTGAAGGATCATGAAAACACAGAGGCTATGGATATGCAGCAGCATGCACTGGCAGTATGCCTAGGTCAAATATTGACTGGTTAAAAAGTTAGCTTGAACAAGAAAGGGAAAAGTGAAGAGCAAGAAACATAAAAAAGACAAAAATGCAGTGGGACTGAGTGGAAAGTTGTAATTGTTTTTCAAAATCAGTCCACTTGACTGCAAATACATTTTTCATTTCTTATGACGTCATCAGTCTTCTCCACAGCAAAGGTTAAGATAAAAGAATAACAGCACAAAGGTGAGCTGCAATAACCCACCTTGCCAATTGTTCTACATATTTTTGAAATTGCTCTTAATTGGCAAAAAGCAAAATGTGGAAAATGGATCTTTAAAGCTCTGCATTTCATCTTTGAACTACCAAGACAGTAGCAGTGATCTTTGTGACAGTGACTCACCCTTTCTTATCTTCTTTTTTCTGTCGTCATCCTCAGAACTATCAAGTCGTGACACACTAAAAATAACTTTGAATATATTACATTAAGTGTTCCTCATCTATCAACAGATAATAATGCCTTCAAGTCACCTGAGGATTTCAAGGTGTCCCTTCCTCTCCGTACAAACTACCTGTATGGACGCATCAAGAAGAGCCTCCCAGAGATGTACGCCTTCACTGTCTGCATGTGGCTCAAGTCCAGCGCTAGTCCGGGAATAGGAACTCCATTTTCATATGGCGTTCCAGGCCAGGCCAATGAGATAGTCCTCATCGAATGGGGAAACAATCCCATTGAGCTACTAGTCAATGACAAGGTAAGTCTATTATGATACACTAAAATTTCACCATTTGCTCATGCTGCAGTGTAAATCCTTCACACTGACCTGATTTTCTGAAGACAGATGCTCTAAATCCTTTAGTATTTTCCTGGCAACACAGCTGGCTCTAATGATGGGCGTAAATGTGGATCAGCAAAGACACTAATTAAATGCAAAGAATGAATAAGAATGAGCCGGCTTCGGGATCCAAAACAAGCACATAGCTTCTGTACGTATATGTGTGCACAATAACGATTCAGCCGAGAAGCGATTCGCTGACCATTAGCTCTGAATATTTAATTTTGCTCCTTATAAACATTTAATACCATCGACCCACATTTCGCTCACACTCACGAATAACAGTAATTCATTAGAGGAGTTGTGTTGCCACGTGTGCTCATCTGCTTCATTGCCCTCTTTGCTTCCTTTTGAGGTTATATTGTAGTTAAACAGTGTAATCGCAATTAACCCAAAACATAAGAAAATGTTAAAAAATAAATAAACTTTAATGCAATTTTGTCATAAAGCAGAAGAATTAGAATTGTTTTATTGATGAAAGACAAAATTTTGAGGCTAAATGTTGCTTTCTTTGTGATAGGATCAAGCTTCACATCACATGGAAACTTGGGAGCAAAGCTTCATGGGAAATAAGTTCTTAGTGTAAAGCTAAGAACACACATTATCCAATGTAGTACTTAACGCTTCTTTGTCTTATGATATCACAGCTTATTGTTGAAATTGGGGAATTTTATGATAACATTTTCCTGCGTTGGAAACAATCATAGTCCCACTATCTTGTTTACTTGTGGTGTTACTGGCACAGACAGGTCTACCCACAGTTTTTCCTTCACTATGCATTATACATGTGTTCAAGTCAGGCAGATAATAGAAAGATGGTGGGAGAAAATGATGAGAGCATGACTGAGAAAAAGAGGGAAAAGAGGGTGGAAATTAAACAAGCTCTGGAGGTGATGGAGCAGTGTAAGAAAGAGTTGGTAAAGAGAGGGGGGAGAAATGAGAAGGTGCCAGAAAGAAAAGGAAAAAAAGGAAGTTAGGAAGTGAGACAGAAAGCATGAGAGCAGAAGAGAGCGAGGAGAGGCTGGTGAATATGATAACCGTATGTGCAGCAGCACATCCATGTGCTAAACTTGTTCGCAGCGATAACAGGGCCCTCTGGGGCACATTGTTTATGCTGTTCGTTTGGCAGCATAGTGAGAAGAAAGCAGAAAGCTGCTTCGACAGTATTAAAAAGTGCAGCGTTGTCTGTATTTGTACTTGGTTATGGGGGGAGAGAGCGTCTTTGTTGTTATAAAGCAGCATCTTCATCATCGTATATTTTGTCTCAGAAAAAGGAAAAAAAAAAAGTTGATTTTTTTGTCATTTTTTTTCTCCCCTCCAATGTTCAAAAGATGCTGGTGGCATCTCAATTTTTCATTCAAATGGGACTACCAGGAGTTTAATCAGTAATGGATTCAGCTGGCCTTGTACAATAGTAACACTGTTTTGTTGGCAAGTGTACAAATGTGTGATGGGTCCAGATTTTTCCAAATATCATTCAAAATTCATGCAGTTGGTGGGTTTTTGTTGGGTTGTCTGCAAAGACAAACATCACTGTAATCACTGCTGTAGAATACGGACACTTTAATGACTTCGCTCTTTCTTGCGTCACCTTCTAAAAACATTTCACACTTACCTGCAAAACCTCATCAACACCCTGCTGGAGATGAGGAACAGAATGTCCTCTGAACATTAAGTAAAACACATCACGGGCCATTTTGACATCTCGTAGAGGGAAAAGCATAGATGTAGATACCAACAATGGATTTCATTTTAGGTGTCCCCTTCCAGGCTCCAGTTTCCTTGTTTTGTCTTATAGAGAAATGGAACAAAAGAGAAACATCCATGTTTTTCCTGCTATAGCGAATCAAAATATTATTATTTTTTTGTTAAAAAGCCAAGAGGAGAATATGCATTTCAACTATGTAATAACTGCAAAATTGTATGTTTTACGGTGTGAGTGTGTCATTTGTAGTATTAAAAAATGAGTCAGTCAGTCTCAAGAGTATGCCCTGTGGATATAGTGCTTTAATTCGAAACTCTGTCTACAAAGAATCACAGCTGGCATAAATCCATTGCTGCAGAATAATTGACGAATTTTGGGTTTTTTTTGTTTGTTTGGTTTTTTTTTTTCATTTTTACAACCTGAATCTTTAAACAGTCCATGTGGCCCAGAATGCTCCAAATCAGAGAGACTTTATAACAACCTTCCCAGTGTTCCCTGTGGTGAAGAGTAACACCTGGTGTCCTTAACAGGGTCAATTGCTTCTGTAATTGCAAGTGAGTCGAATTTTATTTTGAGTGACTGCCCATCTTTTCGGGTTTATTTGCATCTGGAGCTACATCTGCAACTAGGTATTAGGATAAAGCAGCTCTGTAGGGTTATATAAAAAAAAAGCTAATGAGTTACAGTACACACGATAATCCTATGTGCCGCACTGTATCCTCAGAGGACTATGATGTCATTGGCTGGTAAAATAACCAGTTGTTTTTCTTTGATCTGTGAACAAAGCATAAGAGGACACTGTTTTGCTGTTAGCTATCTGACTGCTTTGAAGGATGCTCTATCCCTTGATGTCACCTGGGTAATCTAAATTTTATATGTCACACGGCTCATGTGGGGATTTCTTTGCAGAGGGTTGTCTCTTTGAAGCCCTAATTCTAATTGGTGTCCTTGTTTCTAGCATGCCACAATTACACTTGTACCTCTCTCGACTTCTCTTGCACCCTTATACTGTATCTGCCTATTGTTGCTCCTCGTTCTTCAGCCTTCCTCACTGTGCTCACGCCATTCACACCTCGCACTTCATTCTCAATCAGGTGGCCCAACTCCCTCTGTCAGTGAGTGACGGGCGCTGGCACCACATTTGCATCACATGGACAACTAGAGATGGTTTCTGGGAGGCTTACCAGGATGGCGAGCGTTTAGGCACTGGGGACAACCTGGCCCCCTGGCACCCAATTAAACCTGGAGGGGTGATCATCCTGGGCCAGGAGCAGGTGAGAGCAATAGAGAAGCTTTGATGGTAAAGAACAGGTGTATGTGCATGTATATGTGTGTCTGTGTGTGCATGTGTATTTTTCCTTGTGTCAATAACATCCCGGGGGGTATTCTCCCCCAAGCTCAGCGCCAGAGGCTCTGAGCAGGGAGCAGGGAAGAGGAGGAAGAGAAGCTCTTCTCACGCTATTGTGGCCCTTTCAGTATTACCTCACTCATCCACTTCTAAAAGGCAACATTTTACCCCTGGGAGCTGTGTTAGCAAGTTATTACGCTGGTTAGCTCCATGACAGCGCTATGTGTATAAATAGAAATATACAGTGATGTAAAATCTCCTCAGAGAACTATTAACTCATAGTGCATTACTCTGGAGCTTAAGGAGGAGGTGATTTTTTTTCCTCACTCATACATTTAAGGTGAGATTGCTGCAGATTGCACAGTGTTGCAGATTGCACAGCATTTGGATATTTTAAAGTGGCAGTACACTAGAAAGAATTTGCAGTGGGGTCTAGGTTTTTTTTTTGCTTTTGTTTTGCATTTTGATTAAAATCAAACAGAATTTATTAATTTTAATTAAAGTCTGTTTACATTTCCTCTAGAAACTCAGCTCTGTTCTCTTTCTCTATGAAGGACATTGTGGGAGGCCGTTTTGATGCCACCCAGGCTTTTGTGGGCGAGCTGAGCCAGTTCAACATGTGGGACAGAGTACTGCGGCCCGTGGACATCATGGGCCTGGCCAACTGTTCAGCTTACATGCCCGGAAACGTGGTTCCTTGGATTGATGCTAACGTGGAAGTGTTTGGAGGTGCGACCAAGGCTGCTCTGGAAATCTGTGAAGACCGTGCTTTTGATTCCTAAAAGGATCCGATTCAGGAAAACCAGTGTGGCCGCTGGGCTCTGGAAGCTAAATATTCTGACTGGTGCTTCTTTCAAATCCCAAAGGCAAGAGCACCAGTCCAACATTTTTACATATTTATGTGGTCTGCATAATCTCAAAGACTCTGTGTTCATTGGAAACACAAGTTCATGTGTCCGTTCAATTCGAACCCTTAAGACGTTAGAGGGGATTTCAAAATTGTTTGCTTATCTGAAGAAGATGTGCCGTTGCATCAGTCTGCTGTAATGATATGAGCTGCTGTCATTTCGTGTTTTCTCCTCAGTAGATCAACTTTTATTCGACTCCTCTTTGAAAACAGCTCTTCTTGGTTGCATTCCTTATAATGACAATGCTGCACTGTATCCATAGTCGATGTGAGCTCCAAACAGGCTTTGATGTGCTGTGGAAAACCATTCCTAAGTAACATGGCAGAGCAGTACACACTGTGAGCTTCCTTGCTGTTTGAAAAGCAATGAAACAGAGAAGCCAAGGAGTGAGGTGAAATGAGGTGGACGCTCACAAGTTCAAAGTGGGCGAGAACAACCCTTGCTGTTGATTATTTTCGAGGTATTCCAACATGGCAGACTGTCTAAATATTATGCATGAGCCTGAGCAGCTCACAAGTGGCAGTGCATGCTTTCTGTTTACACACACAGTGTTGCGGGGTGTGTCTAAACAAGTCGATGCCGCTTTCTGACAACATTGCATCAGTGTGTGTATGTTCATGTGCGTGAGGCTTGTCTTGCGTGTAGAAGGACTGGAGATTATGAGGGATGGAGGACATTTTCATTCTTGTAAATCTATGCTTAATACCTCACTGCCCCTTGAGCAGCTGCCATATCCCAAACAGCTTTATGGATGGGTTGGCTTTGCTCAGGTTAATAGCAATGTCGGACAGCTGCCCAGGACTGGCGAATCAACTGAGCTGCGGATGCCAGCAGAGTGCTCAGTGAGGGCAGAGGCTGGGTTTGACCTTCAAGGACAATCCTTAATTCCTCATCTGGGTAGTAATTATATGTGTTAATGACTGAGTGTGCTGGTGAGCAGCCCCGGTCCACTGGTGTTTCTCTAAGCCAAGTGGTTCACAGCTGATAAAATATTGAGATGTAAAGGGGAAGTCAAATGAGAGCAGCACTCTGTGGGCGTTATGAATGTTGCTGTCAGGTGGAGTTTGATATTAATTGCCTCACACTAAGCCAGAAAAAAAAGTCTAAATCGATGGATATGTTATATTAAAAAATATATATATATATAGGAAACTGATGGATCTTGTTACTGCTTGGTTAATAAAACCTTTTACGCTTTTTGCAGCTTAATTATTGTTACTTCTTGTTGTTGTGGTGGACATTTGTTTCATCTTGATTTGATTCCTCTAAGGAAACAGATATAAGAGAGGCAACAAATGATATAAACTTTGTTATCACCTCTAGACTTTCTTTTAGGCTCCTTGTGGACTTCTCCTGACTGAGTAGATACTAGCGTAAAAGCCATTAAAAAGCTTCTACACACAGCTGACAGAACTAGGATGCAGTAGGTAACTGGACAGCACAGAATGTGGCAGAGAGCGATGGTCCACGCTTAATAGCATAAACATAAAGACGTGTGATCATTTTGTGATTGTTCTTCTTTTCTGTGTCTTTGTTAACAGTGTTTTAATGTGAAATCAAGAAATTGGATTTCAGCAAAGTGTATTTTTCTTGCTTTCTGCTCATGATTTTTGTCCATTAGCAGCACATCATGTTAAAAAAAAAAACAGATGGAGAAATTGTTTGTTTTTTTAATTGTGAAAAAGGCCTTTTGCGAAAACCATATGTGCTTTTTCTTGTGAAATTTTGGTCAGCTTTTAAGGCGCAGCTCAGCAGCACAGACAACAAGGGACACACGAAAATGCAAAAATGTGTTTGCTTTCAATGTTTTAAAGTCCTCTTTATGTGCGTGCAGGTTTTTGGTTGTGCACTTTTCTGCGGTGCGGTTGAATGTCCTTTTGCACCCATTAAAAGAGCGAGAACGAGTTCCCGAGACGTGATAAATTAAGCAGCAACTTAATGATGTGATGGAATAAGTGAACATGCGCTTGAAACAGTCGAAGCATGTTTTATTAAAATATCATTGCGCTGCATTAGTGATGATGTCAGAGAGGAGTGTAACCCTGCAAAGGTCATGGCTCTATTCTTCACTGATGTTTCTAAATTAGGAAACCTTACTTTAATCTTTGAGGGAGATTTAAAAAAAGCTCCTTTTTTTTACTGTAACATTTTTGGTTGCATTAATTTTAATGGAGACGTGGGCGCTTGTCCAGTTGGTAGCCATATTATTTGTAGGACTAGGATATGTCCTCTCATCTGGGCAATGAAATGTTGTCAGCAGCGGAGAAATCCTCTGGATTGGCAGACTTCCAGGTGGAAATGAAAAAATCTGCCCATGCGGATTATGGGAGCTGCTACAATGTAGGACACTGTGAGCCTTCTTCATTCTCTTCTCGACCCTGTGTGTTCTGATGCCGTCGCCACTGCGCTGGTGGAGGCGCACCAGGGAGCCCCTGTTTTTATAAGAGAACAATATGAGGCCTTCAAAAAAACAAACAAACAAACAAAAAATACCATCAAAGAAATATATATATATATATATATGTATGTGTTATGTTTGTTTTTTTGTTTTGCATATTCTATATTTCTGTATCTATTTTCATTCCATTGCTGCTGTAACACTGCACATCTTGATGTTCTGAAATGTAAAGTAAAAATTTGCAGTTAAATTAAAGAATCCCACTTGCATTTACATAAATGATGGATACACTAGTTTTTTGTTTGTTTGTTTATTTTGATATTCGTTGAGGCTCTTTTTTCACATGCCTACAGAACAGTTCGCCACAGAGTTAATGACAAAAACTCGTGGCTTCTCATCATTTCTATCTGCACTCAGCTGTATGAAGACATCAATAAAACTTTACATCTTTATGCTTTTTTTCTTTCATTTGAATTCTGTGAGGTGGCGCTCCATGGGAGACTTCACCAGTTGTGCACATCAGTGTCTATTTGCAGATCCCAGTGGGTTCCGCTGCATATGTGCTGTGTTAAGTCTTTAGTGGCTACCAACATAACAGTATTAGTGTTAGATGATCTCTATAAACACTTATCTGAATATAAACTTTAGGCCGGGGACAATATTTTTCCCTGTAGTCTACTTATCACCTGGGTTTTATTGACCAGCCAAGCCACAGGTTGCTGGTAAACAGTCAAAATGGAGAAGAAAATCACAATTAATCATCATTAACTGTGATTTGATTTTTAAACACAGTACTTGTCTAGAGCCGTGCTCATATCTTTATATGTTTGCTGGAAAATGATAGTGATTCACTGAAATATCTGAAATACAACATATAAGGAAAAATCTGAGTTTGTACAATTAAGGTCAATATCTGGTATGTCAACTTTTTATCCTTCAGCACAGCCTGAACTATCTAAGGAAAGCTTTCTTGTAATTTCATTAAGTAGTCTTCAAGCATAGTTCTCTAGGCTTCCTAAAGGACATTCAAAGCTCTTGTTGGCTGCCTTTTGTTCCATTTTCTCTCAAGAAAATCCCACACTGATCCCCTCAATAATGCTGAGGTCTGCAATTGTGTGTTTTCTTATACAGGTATGCTTTTACTGCATTGGCAGAGTGTTTGGGATCGCTGACATGCTGAAAACTGAAGCTATTGTCAACCGGGTGCAAATCTGAAAGCAGTTTTCTGAACCAGATGATCAATTTTGACAAGATCCCCAACACCACTGGCAAACATTACCCTCTGCGTGTTTCTCAGTTGTAGACACCCACTCTTGTACCTTTCTCCTGACCTACTTTCCACATATAGATGAAGATTGAAACCAGAAATTTCAAATCTGGATTCATGACTCCATCAGACCTGTTGCCACTGATTTTCAGTTCAGGTAAAATTTGGCACACTTCAACCTTTTCTTTCTCTTTCTCTTCCTTAAGAATGTTTTCTTTTCAGCTTCTCTTTCACTGAGGCCATTTCTGATGAGGCTTCAGTGAACAGTAGATAAATAAATGAAGTGCCAGATACCTCTCCCAGTGCCTGCATCCGGTCTTTCTTGCATTGCTGAACTGGGTCTAATATACACCATTAATGTGTCTATTAGACCTAATTTCTACAAGACTGCTCAAAGAAGTCCTACCATTAATTAATGCTTCAATCTTAAATATGTTAAATCTTTCTCTGTTAATGGGCCACATACCACAGGCCTTCAAGCTGGCAGTAATAAAACATTTACTTTTAAAAGCTGCTATCTTAGCTAATTACAGATCAATCTCCAACCTTTTATCTCAAAAACCCTTGGAAGTGCATTTGTGAAACAGCTAACTCATTAGCTGCAGAGGAATGGTTTGTTTGAAGAGTTTCAGTCAGGTTTCAGAGTTCATCACAGCACAGAAACACCGAAGGTTACAAGTGATTGATTCCTATGGTCTCTGACAGTGGATTCATCTCTGTGCTTGTCCTGCGAGACAGTGCAGCGTTCGATACTGTTGACCATAACATTTTATTAGCGCAATATCCTTCAGTGTGCATACTAAACAAATATGTAGGACTGTTTTGTTGCATTTGCACAATGTCTCTAAATGTAAAAACATCTTGTCTCAGAGTGATGCTGTAAAACTTTTTAATGCATTACTTGTAGACAGCACTATTGTAATTCTTTTATATAGGGCTGTGCTAAAAACTCCCTGAAAAGTCTTCAGTTAACCTCTTAAGCCCCAAGCCTACCTGATCTCCTGCTTTTTGCCCCTGTATCAGGGGGCGTTGGGGCTTAAGAGGTTAATCCAAAATCCTGCAGTGAGAGTACTGACAAGGACTAGAAGGAAAGAGCAAATTTCACCTGTATTGGCCTCTCTTCATTAGCTCCTGTTAATTCCAGAATCAAATTTAAAATCCTTCTCATCACATACAAGGTCTTGAATAATCGAGCCCTATTTTGTGCTAAAGACCCCATAGTACTGTATCACACCAACAAAGCTTTGCTCTCAGACTACAGTGTGATTTTTGCCCTGTATTTCTCCCCTCACCCCCAGTCGATCACAGCAGATAGCTCCCCCTCCCTAACCCTGGTTCTGCTGGACGGAGTTTTTCCTTCCCACTGTCACCAAGTGCTTGCTCAAAGGGGGTCATTTGATTGTTGGGTTTTTCCTCTGTAGGGTCTTTACCTTACAATATGAGCCTCAAGGCAACTGTTGTTGGATTTGGCCCCTTTTTTTCTTAAGGTCATGGCTTTAGATATTTTTTTAGGTGTGCCTAAAAAATATTTGTATCTGTACCTGACCCTACAGGTCTGCTGTACTAGACTCAGATACATGTATTTGTCCAGTCATTGCACCTGATCCTAAATTGGTCAGACACAAGGACTGAAATGAAAATGAGTGAAAAACCAGCCAAAGAAAAACTTTTAAATACTTTCAGACAGACCATTTTAAATAAATTACAGGAAAGTCTGGGTCCTTGGAAAAAAATAGAAAGGCATGAATGGCAGTTTAAGACTTGGCTGTAGCTCAGGAGGTAGAGCAGGTCACCTACTGACGGGAAGGTCGGTGATTCGATTCTTGGCTCCTCCAGTCTGCATGTCAAGTATCCTTGGGCAAGATACTAACCCCAAGTTGCTCTCCGATGCATCCATCGGAGTATGAATGTGTATGAATGTCGTTAGAAAGCACTAAGTGTAGATAAAGTGCTTGTGAGAATGGGTGTGATTGGGTGAATGAGGCATGTTGTATAGAGCGCTTTGAGTACTCCATGAGAGTAGAAAAGCGCTATATAAGAATCAGTCCATTTTCCATTTACCAAGACTTCCGCACAATACTGTATCTGGATTAATATCTGGATCATCCACAGACAAAGCAGGGAAACTTGGTTTGGATGTTGTCTATCCTGGCTTCTGCCTTAGAGGCTAAGCTCTTGTTCCAAGTTCTGGAACCACACCTTAAACCACCTAAATGTAGAGAAAGAAGTCACTATTCCAGTGTGGGTACTTCTGACAAACTGATTCCTGCTTTCTCATCCAACCTCCCCCTTTAATTTCAGACGTTATTCCACAGGTTTTTGATTGTTGTGTATGAGACAAATTATCTTGCAGAAGGTGTTACATGGCACTAATGAAATCTAACTGAAAGGGGAATTAAGCTCAAAGCATCATCTTTGAATTTTACGGCTATCATCTGTTTCACTGACAGCAGCATCATTCAACAGGATAAACAGCGTATGTGTTTGTGTGTCAGTGTATGTGGGCCTGTGACAGAGAGCTTTGGTGCCATGCTAGGTTTGGAGAGTAAATTTTTTCCACTTATTAAGTTTTTCACCCACCGCGGTAGAGTTTGAAAGGGAGATTTCCGAGCAGCGTTGCCCTGGAGGGTTCATGAAGAAAGGATTTCAACAGCTGCTGCAGATGTAATGGTAGCACTACATCACTAAAAACAAATTAACAATTCAGTGCTGTTGCCTTCTTCTCTATTTAACTATTAGATTTGACTGGATAGAGTGACAGTGAAAAATTCACCTGGCACATTTTTATTAGACCACTCTTCACATCCATGTATTCTCCTCTCAGTGTCCCTGATCAGCAGCCTTTCCCCAACATAGCCAAAGGTTGTGTCAAAGTGTGCGAAAATATGTAATTAAAATCGAATTTGATTGTCACTGGAAGAATTCAGGAGATGTATGCGGAGATGGGGGTAGAATTAAAGTGCCAATGTGCTGCTAGCACCCTCTCATGCACGCAGTATCCCAATGGAGCCCGGAAGAACGAGCGATGTAAAGGCTGTGAGATAAACAAGTTTCAGAATTGAGACCAGAGAAGTCCTTTGGCTCAGTAATTAAAGCCTTATAGAAGAAAAGCCTGTGCAGAAGGCGAGGCTTTCCAAGGCATTTGAAAACTGCTGTTTTCTTGGATGTCACAGACTATTAGTGGGACCCACAAACTCCCTTCGGGTTATATTGCCGCCTTTATAAAATTATGCATCAAAAATGCTGCATTCTGTTCCCATCTCTGATTCTGTTTGGCAACTATTTTAAAAGATTCACATATATATTCTCTTTTTGGTTGTCCAAGACAACATGTAGCCTCCTCTAAATGAGTTACTATTAGATCACTTGAAGTTTTTGTTGTTTGTTTGTAGTTTGTCTTTTTGCAGATTTCAAGAAAAGATTAAACCACCCTGCTGTACCTTTTGGTGCTATTTATGCACAGCACCCAGAGATGAGCACAGTAAATGTTGTTTTGGGGGAATAAGAATAAAAAAGAGCAAAGAGGGAGATGGCATGAGGGAGGGATGAACAAATTAATCAGCACAGGAGAGGAAACAGCTGCTGCATGACAGTTTGCAATGCCCCCTCTCTGAAGATCAAAGATCCTGCAGATTCTAGATGGAGATATCAAATCATCTTTATTCCGTTAAGCAGTACAGGGTATTTTCAAGCAGAGTAGAAAATCATAAATCTGACACGTCTTCATGCTCAGATTACAAGGCTCACAGTTTGCCGACTGTGAGCCAGAATATAAAGTGTTTAACCTCAGCACATCTATTCTTAATGCCTTGTCTAATCACACACTTTGTCCTCATTTCTGGGGTTGATATGTATTCCTACAGAGACTATTTATATTGCTAACAATATATAAGATTTCTGCATTGACTTTATTAAGAAAAATATTAAACACAGGCTTTAATATGTGTTTTTTTCTGCCAGTTAAAAAAGAGAGAGAGAGACAGAGAAAGAGCTGAAATCTCTCCCTCAGGCTGTGTGGACGGCAAATTGTAACTCAACACTTGTCTATCTGTCTTGCAAGAAGCAGCAAAGCTTTGCAGCAATAACTCTCTTATTGTGCATCACTAAAATTGCCTTTTTGCTTGCTCCAAAACACCTGTGTGTTTCCCTGCAAC